TGTACAACAGTCACATAATCCCTTTCTAGATTACTGTGCAATCCTTCAGAAAGAAAATATGGACTTTTGATTTTAAATGTTATATAAAGATTCCCAGAATACAATGGACAAAGAATAGAAGAAATACTGACTTTTTAAAAGATCTGAACAACAAGGAGGGTTTGGCTTATGGACAGCATCCTGTCTCGGAAGCTGAAATATATTTGTCATATCAAGTACAATGGCTGATTGGGAAAGAAACACAACGGAAGGTATGATACCAGAAAGGAAGTTCAGGGGCCGACCAACACGAAGATGGGCAGATAATATAAGTGACTCATTGAATATGAAAGTACACGTAGCGGGAGGGAGGGATGGTGAGAGACCGATCTCTCCCCCCCCCCCCCCCCCCCCCCCCCCCCCCCCCCCCCCTTCCCCCCTCCCCCCCCCCCCCCCCAGGCAGACTGTGATGACAGCGACATTCTGCAAAAGGACCTGCTACATGATGATGATTAGGTTACAGTGTTTCACAGCCCGGAAAAGAATGGGGGGGGGGGGGGGACGCTACGGACAAGTCCAGCTGGACGGCCAAATTTCTCTGCCTAATCATACGTCTATAGCTGCAGTATGTAGGATTAACACCTGGATTATGAGAATAAAACAAGTAGAATCCCGGAAGCCCACTTAAAGAGCAAAAAGGTTATATTAGGGCACCAGGCGGTTAAAACAGTTTACGTTTCTGTCTTTGGTTAGCTGTCAGCTTGTCCGCAAAATAATTGTGGTGGGCCGCGAGTGTAGAAATGTTGAGGAACACTGATATAGAACTTGCTGTATGAACCGGTGACTCAGTAGTTAAGCTCTCTGCTTTAACCGCATTGATTAGTTGGGTAATAGTAATAATAGTCCAAGACAACAGATCCATGCTGGGATCTTGATTTGTTGGTGGGTATAGTTTGCACCTAGTGTCTTTGAACCTTTTTAAGGCATGTGTGTATGTGTTGTGAGTAAGACGTCGCCATTTTGCAAGGGACGTTAGTTTGATGATGTTAGCCAGGACTTTTGTTTCCTATTTTTTTAAAAAACGACCTGAACACTCACCACAAAATGGCTGTAAAAGGTGCCGGTACTAACTATATGGATGCGAAAATTGGAAAGCAGCAGCAGCTCTAGATAAGAAATTAGACAATTTTGAGAACAGATATCTTAGAAGAATTTTGAATCTCCTCTGAACAGATTTCAGATCCAATACGCACATAAGACAGGAGACCAAGCAAGATAGTGTATTTAATTTTATAACAAAGCGCCGCTGGAACTACATCAGCCATGCACTGAATGGATAAGACCAGATTCCCGCACTAAGCCCTCATATGGACACCGGAAGAGAAAAGCAAACAGGAAAGACCAACAGAGACTCAACGTAGAACCATCATCAGGATAGGCTCAACCATGGGCATAATGAACATCCAAGACCTAAAACAGGTGGCAATGAACCGCCAGACATGGAGAGCTATGACCTCTGCCCCATGCACCGCCCTAGGCTCAAAATGAAAGACTAAGTAACTATAATCTATCTATTACATTAACACTGGGGGGGGGAGGGGGGGGGGGGAATGATGACTAAAAACAGGTGCCGATACTGAGTAAGACCCTGATGTTAACTAGCTGCCCTACCTGCCTACCACATGCCTGACTGACTGACTGACTGAATTTCTACCCCACCAGGACATCACACAAGCGATAAACACCCGATGACACAAAGTGCCACCATGCGGATGAGGATCACCGTGGAGAGGTCCCATAAACTGCGTTCAGACATTTGGCCATAATGATGACCTGCCTATATTGCGGCCCCTGGCAAAAGCCAGAGTAGGGCTTCAAATAACAAAAAAATTACGTCCTAAAAAATGACATAGGGATATAACCACATGCCTGTCTGCTTTGCAACTATATGTCTTCTGTTGCTTACCCGCTATCTAACCAACCTGACTACAACCTGTCTACCTGCATGGCTACCCGCCCACCTTTCATGTTTTATCTTTTGTGGTACAACAGTGAGTTGCGTTAAGAACCTTCATCATAGCATTAGGGATATTCCCATAAGCGACCCGTCCCCATCTTCAGCAGTCAGTGCAGAGTTTCAGTTCCCATGGTACCAAGAAGTTTAATTGTATGTCTATTTGTATGTATGTGTGTGTAACAGCGTGAACCCCGATTTATGTTTTATAAATTGTATAATGCTTCAGTTCAGTTATTACAAAAACACATTGGTGCAAAATATGACAGAGACTTTGAGACGAAGGAGTTAAGAGACAGTGAACTGCATGTAGGAAGTGAGTATTAAACGAGGATAAGAAAGCAAATATCGGTCTGGGGTCAAAGAAAAAGATATGTGTTTGCTACTACTACCTGGCACGTTGAATATGCAGATACTGTAATGGCTGTTGCTTTAAAGGACGAGCACGAATGGATCGGACTGACCTGCTAGGATGTCGATACGAACCGCCAGACATGAACAAACAAACAAACCGTATGGCAAGTTTGTAACGGGTTCTCTGGGCTACAACTACCGGTTTCGAAAACGCACAGCCCGCCTTGGCCGTTTTGCTTCAGGTCAAGCAATGGCAATAGCGCCAATATCTGCAGATTTGACCCAGATACCGTCAGAAGTTAACATTTGTCGAGAATAAGTCAGTCAACATTCCTGTCTTTATCCCACGCAGTGTTTACTTTTAATTACAAGTTGTCTGGCGCGGAAAGTGCCCCTGTAATTGCTGTTTGTGGTCCGCAAAATATAACCTGGGACGCCAGGGATGGCTCAACCTAGGGGCTCAGGAACTCAACCCCCCCCCCCCCCCCACTTAATAAAATCGTAAGGCCCTCCTCTAGCCCCTAATTAACCACCTCTCCCCCGAAATGTAAGAATATCATAGAGGGATGTAAAACCGAAGAAAACGTAGATCTGCGAGTTTCACAGTATGACGTAAAGTGAACATTTCGGCTACAGAGATTTCATCAGCACATTACATAAATCAAACAAAAGCTCACGAATACACAAAAATCACTTAACCGACGTGTCCCGAAGCAGCCACGTTGATGTATTCCCTGTGAAAATGCTAAAGTGCCTCATCACAAAATTTTGAGAGCATGCATCTTCTCTGTTTCGACATAGGGATGTGAGGTGTGGACTAATTCACAATCACTGAGAAAGAAAATAGGGGCCTGTGAGCTGAAAGACTATAGAATGATACTCGGAATACTATCAAATAATTTTAAAAAAAAAAAGAAATACCTACACCCTAAAAGTTCTGAACATCAAAGAAGATTGGCTAGAAAACAACATCTTATACTGGAAACTGAAATTGTTTGTCATACCAAGCACTACAGCAGATTGGAATAAAAAATAGCAGAAGGCATGGTGGCTGGGAAGAGGAGCAAGAGCTGCTCAGCACAAACATGGACATAGAATCTAAGTGAGACCTTGGCTGGGAAAGTGGACGGGGTAGAAGAGCTGGCGAGAGACTGAGTTGCTTTCATGCAGACTGATGAAAGCAACGTTCTGCAAAGGACCTGCTACATGATGATGATGATGAAATCAAATGTATTAGACTGAAAGGCATGGATATGGCAGCCTAGCTGTAAACCACAAAACTGCATGCCAGTAGTACTTAATGGGGAAACGTCGGAGGAAAACCATTAATAGTAAAATAAAACATTCTTAGTTGTAATCATATTTATTTTATATTGCAAGGATTTGTAGTTTCATTTTTTACTTGACACGTTATTGAAGAATTCAAACTCTAGGTACCAACTTGTGATTACATGAACTTCTTGTTCTAAAGAGCTCAAGCTTAAAATAATCAATATTTTAATTTTAAAAAATAAATAAAACGTAACACTTTGGAGCAGAAGGAGGGAAACTATGAATTTTATATAATAAAAATGTAACAGCTGTCTATAAGAAAATAGTGTCAGAAATGCGCACTGTCTTTGGGCTAACTTAAAACATAGGGTGAGAGTTCAATGGTATTTAAATACTAAACAGTGCTTTGCATTTGCATTGCTTGTGGTGACTGGTTCTTGCTCTGTTTCTGCTGTTTGTAAATGGCAAGGTTGTTTGTAATAGTCTGATTGGGGGCCATCTTGTCAGGTGATTAAACAATCAGACTCAGTCAGTAAATAAAATCAGTTACTGATTTGTAAAGTTCAGATAAACCCACTGCTGAATCAGAATCAGGCAGATGTATAATAATAATGTGATGAATGATAACAAAAAAATATATCTGGGAAAATATTCAATGTATAAACACATACCTTTAAAATGTATTTGTATTCATGGTTAAAGGGAAGTGCTCGGCTCCCTTACAACACTATTAAAAATGTCGTCCCCTTGTAGGAGGCAATTTTTGTTACTTTGAAGCCCCACCCTGGCCAGGGGCTGTAAAATAACTTGACGGATGAACGCAGTTTCTGGGACCTCTCCATGGGTGATCCTTATGTGCATGGTGGTATTTTGTGTCACCAGCTGTTTATCGCAGTGGGTGATCTCCTGGTAGGGTAAAATTTATTTACCTACTTACTAGCTCCCTTACAAACTTATTGGAAAAGGATGGAGGCAAGCCCCCCCCCCCCCCCCCTTTTTTTTTTTTTTTAAGCCCCCATTTAAGCCCCCCCCCCCCCCCCCCCCCCCCCCCCCCCCCCCCCCCACCATTTAATCAAATGATTTATTCTTTTGGGTCATTATTTCCTATTGTGTCTTCTCTTGCCATATCCACATACCTCTTCAGTGGTATTTCATCTCAATTTATATTCTTTTTTAACAGATACTACAGCAAGACATTGAATCACATAACAGGATCGTCCGTGCTGTCCTTCAGTTAAGTCAACAACTTGATGACAGTGCTCATGGCCTTAGGAAAGACGGAGTGAGCAGTTCATTTCATCATGTTGCCCTCAGTCTTCAGCACCAGTGGCACGGCATCTGGCTGAAGTCTTTGGAGTGGCAGTGTCGACTGGAAGAATGCATGTCTAGAAGGGGTGTAAGTATGCCATATGTATGAGGAAGAGTCTAAGTCTAGAAGGGGTGTAAGTATGTAATATGTATGAGGAAGAGTCTATGTCTAGAAGGAGTGTAAGTATGTAATAAGAATGAGGAAGAGTCTATGTCTAGAAGGGGTGTAAGTATGCCAAATGTATGAGAAAGAGTCTATGTTTAGAAGGGGTGTAAGTTTGCCATATGTATGAGAAGAGTCTATGTCTAGAAGGGGTGTAAGTATGCCATATGTATGAGGAAGAATCTATGTCTAGAAGGAGTGTAAGTTTGCCATATGTATGAGGAAGAGTCCATATTTAGAAAAGGAGAATTATACCAGAAGTATGAGGTAGAGATAGTCAGACTGATGAGCGCATTTCCTGAAGAAAGTTCCTGTTCAAATTCTTGGGTTCCATTGTGTGGAGGGACAAGAATAAACCCACTGCCTCCTTGTGTTGTAAAGGTCAATTAATTAGTGGGGTTTTCTTTATTTTTCCAGATCTCTAAAATGGATGTGCATGCAAAACTCACATTCTAAAACAAAATCAAAGTTGAGAAGTGGATAAACAACCAGAATTTTCTGTCAGAATTTACTGCCTGGTGTTTAACTGTAGTTGAATTTGTACTTTAGTTATAAAGGATTCGCTTATTTGCTTCATTTATGTAATTGTTACTGTAGTGTGCACCTGATGCAATACAGCACAGTATGGCAATAAATTGTGCAGTCTGTTGTTTTTGTCATCTTTGTTCAAATATTTGATGACTTTGATGTAGAAGTGAACTTTATGTTTGTCCATCTGCTCAACCCTCTGGATATTTATAAAGACTGACTATGGCTCCAAATTGTTTCTGCTTCTTCTCTTTCTTTCTTTCTTTCTTTATTTTTTTTTTTTTTTTTTGTATTTGTAGTTTCAGAGATTTGTAAAGATGCATTTCTATTTTAATGAAATTTTAGGAAAAGGCCTAAGGGTTAGTAAACTTCTAGAACTAATAATGAATACTAAATATTCAAAATAGTCTAGTTAAAAGATGTAAGTCAAATGGAAATCAGTACACAAAAAAATGTTTTGTTTGGACATACACATTTTAATTTTATAAAGATGGATGTTTTCTTTGTCTTTATTTATTGTAACCTTATGAGCTGTACAGTGTCAAAACATTTTGTACTGCAATGCAGATTTCATAGTCAAATCCTCTTAAACGTGACAATTTTAGCAGCAGTACACTCTAATGTCTTTGTTGTCCTTGTATACCAGTATAGATGGGTCTGCTTTGTGAACTTTATTCTAAAATGTGAATTATATTTTATTTTAATTTTTACAGAGCTGCCATAAGACTGCCCTGAACTCTTCTACCTGTTTGTTACCTGTTGTAAATGTGTCTTCCCCGAGCAACTCTAGCAGCAACACTGATATATACAGTTCGTTTAAGGTTGATGATGATGGTTTTCTGTTCACCACCCATCCAGATAACTCTACAAATCGTGCCAGGTTGCACACACAGTGTCAGCTTGAAGATCTGAGGTCAATAATCCCCGATAGACATAAACCAGCTACTCCAGTATTTCATGCTACACTTTACAATGCTTATGTAAATTTTGAAGTTCAGACTGGCAATGAGCAGGATGACTTGTCCTGTTCTTTGAAAACTGGAGATTCATTGTCAAATACAAACACTCAGAGAGACTCAGAGAATCCACAGTCATTTCCTGTCCTTGCCCAAAACATATCTTTTGCTGAAGAGAAGCTACCTAATTTCAACACAGTCAGGAATAGGCCACAATCTCTTTCAGCTTTGGCACTGCGAGGACATGTCTCTGATTGTTTAGAATCATTCAGCAACATCAGATATTCAGGTATCAACAAATCAGGTGCATTTTCTAAAAATCAAGTGTCTAAAGACGATGATCACAGTTGTCTGACCTCAAGGAGACTTTTATGTGAGCTCAGCAGTGGAGACAGTGCCAACATCAGCGAGTCAGAGTCAAAGATGGGAGATTTTCCTCCTTTCAATGGACCACCCAGTGAACCAGAGGATCAGGGAGGACCTCTAGCAACCAGCAGTGAGGGGGAGGGAGAGCCACTGACTCTAGAAGTGAAAGATATAGGCTACAGCAGCGACAGTCTGTCCAATGATGAGGATGATGTGCTGCATCATCAGATTGGAATTGAGTGTAAGTTTCCAGGGAAGTGTGAAGTTGCCAGTGATGGTCCTCTAGGAGAGAAGATTACCTTGCCCTCTGTAGCAACCAGACCTGAGTACTACTTCATGACCCTGGTGGATATAGACTCCACAGACAAAACTGATAATGGAGATACTACAGATTCTGGTGGTGAGAAAATGAAAAAATACAGAGGTCAGCACAAAATCAAATCAGCAAAGGATGATCCTGAGCTAGAGTTACCTTATTTGAATCTACCTAGATCAAGTGCTGATAATTTAGACTCAACAGATTCTGGTGGTGAGAAGATGGATAAATATACAAGTCAGTTCAAAATGAAGTCTACAAAGAATGTTCCTAAGTTGGAGGGACAGAATTTGCTTTTACCTAGGTCAAGTTCACACCAAGCTATGGGCATTACTGATGAGGATGAATGTAAAGAAACAGGAAACTGTCCACATACTTTGGATGATTCACAGAATATTTTGGACCCTACATCTATCTCTGTAAGTGACAGATACTTTAAACAAACAAAGTCTTCAAATCAAAATACATATGAGTTTTTACTAGAAAATGAGTGCATTAGTCCAGTGTATGACTATCCTCCAGAAAATGAGTGCATTAGTCCAGCATCTGGATTCTCAGAGTCAAATAATGTTGTAGAGTCCAAAGAGAAGAATTCAATAAAATATCTCATAGAACACGCAGAAGATTTAGTGAAGTACTCTAGCCCTCACAAGCAGACGCCAAAATCTCCATCTAAGCAAACTCAGACGGATTCATTCTCCACAGTGGAGAGCTCATGTGATGCCAGTGCTGAAGACAATTCTGAATTTGAGAGCCATCTGGAGAGTGACCTTGTGAAAGAAGATCTGTCCACTGCAACAGATGATGCTGACGAAACATTATTTAACAGTGTCATAAATATAGATTCAGTAGATGATTCTATGAGAAGTGAAGACCTTGATCACACTATCATATCATCTCCGTACTCTCCTGTAATCGTTGATTCGCCACATTTGAGGAAGCAGACATGCAGAAGACGAAATCAGAAAGGAGACTCCAGACCTTGGAGTGTTGTTGGCCTTGATGGCATCATTTTGTCCAAGAAGTTTCCAAATCAGGGCCACAGTATCAGTGCTGTCTCTGAGAGTGCAATCAATTGTTTACCTTTCCAAACTGACAGTGATCTGCCATCATGGCTGCGCGTGTCATCTCAGTCCATGCCATCTTGTAATAACAGTCACCGCAGGAGAATCCACAGAGCATCCACATCATGTGACCAGATATCTTCCCAATTAGAATATTCAGAGTTTCATTCACCACAAACTTCATGTACAGAAACCACTTTCTCAACATCATATCAAGAAAATACACTGAATTCACACAGCAGTCTCACAACTCAGACTCGGCCAGTGTTGAATATTCCACTTGCCTATGCCAGCGTACCATCACAGACAGCCTTGAACCAAACCTCCAGCAGACATTCACCACGTAAGGCCTGTAGTGAGAAACATAAAACAAGGCATTCTAGTGGAATGCGTTCTTGGGGCTCAGATGTCTTTGACAGTGCTGAATTGGAACCTGGCATGGAGATTTCAGGTTAGATTTCTCTTTTGTCTTTCATTCTGATGTAAATGACATTAGTATGCTAAGTTCCCCCTTATGTTTTCCCAGGCATATGGCTTCTTCTTCTTCTTCTCTAGTCCATGTCTGCCTTTCAGTGTCAGGTTGTGAAGAGGCATCGGGTGAGAGCTACATAGATGCTGGTATTCAAGGCCTCGGATATTCCATCTGTGCATCGCTTGCATGGTCAACCTCTCGCTCTGGAAGGGAGGGGGGGGGGGGGGGGGGTTCCATTTCGGGGAGAAAATAAAAAATCTACCATCCCCCTAACAAGTTTGCTATAAAACAGGATTGATGCCGGGTTTGTTGAAACTGATATTAGGCTCAAAGTTACAGATATCGCAGACTACCTGTAAACTACAATGAAACATGCCAACCACCCTTTTAACCCCGTCACCCTGAGAAGCCACAAATTTGACACCACCAGTTGAGTCCGGTTCCCCATAAATATCGCTTTGATATTGCTGGAGTGGCTTGTTCAAAAGATTTTGCAAATGGGTTTCGGAGCTCTTTTGTAGGGGAAAAAAGAATATACCCAAACAACAGTCTGCATACAAATAAGCCAGATCTGTAAATTGAATGTGCGTGCAAAACTCAAGTTGTAAAAAAAGACTAAGGTTCAGAAGTGGATGAACAACCAGAACTTTCCACCAGAGTTCACAACCAGTGAACTCCAAGAAATAATTCATACAGGCTTATGATGCTTGACTCATATTTCTATAGACCAACTTGTCCTTGGTGTTTTGGTCACCATCAGGCCAGTCACCTTTGCTTCCCAGAACTTTACCTGGTTCTTATGCTGGATCAACCTGGAGGTTGTTGTGAAAAATTGATGCAGTTTTCTTTTGAAATATTTGTAGTGTATAGTACAGGGCAACTTAGTTAGGTTTACTCAGGGGCCATAAGTCTGAAACAGGGGATTGTCACACGCTGGAGGCTGGAGCCCCAGCATTGAAAGATTATTAACACAACTGGCAATGATCCCCGGGCCATTTACTAGGCCTCAGCTGGTGAAATCTGGCCACCATTTGAATATCCCTGGTATAGTGGGTATTCTTATTTTTCTTCTTCTTTCTTCTTCTTCAGTGTTCACTGTTAAAATTGCAGTTGGCATATTGTTTTGTGGTTTACAGCTAACCTGTAATATATGCACATCCAACACATCCTATTTCAGCACATCCTTAAATAGTCGCCTTTATCAACATGCTTGTTAAAAAGCAGTGGTTCTGTTTTTTGTGTGTCCCCAACAATAGGGTCCTGGAACTCTTATGGGGAAGGAGTTAATCGGCACCTGTTAACTTGCTTATCATCTTTCAATACAGAATGTCCTTAAAATTATATTTTAAATGAATAACAGTGTTGTTGTGTCTGACGTTTTTTTTAAATATGAAATTTATAGATAAATATCAAACTACTCCATTGGAACTGGCAGCTTCTGATGGTGACGATATCCTCAATGTGTCGGGCTCTTTGTCTGAAAACAGCACTTGGGATAATTACCAGGTATGTCTGAGCTTGTTTTGAAACTAAATGTATAAAAGAGTTATTGTTTTTTGTGTGTGTGGACAGATTACTTTTGAATTAGCTGACTGCCGTCTGGCACACTATAGTCAGCAGATTCTACCCCACATCTTCCCGCTCAAGCAACTAAAGATCTCCTTCTTCTGCGTTCATCCGAAGATATAATTGCGTTGTATCTGTTTACAGCATGGCTGCGATATTTGCACCTTTCAGCCAACACATCCGACTTCTGCGGGCATTTGTTGACCGGGTTAGCCTTCCCGGAACTAGAGATCTAAGAGAGCTGAAGTCAGTGCACCATGAGCTGTCCTGTGTTGACAGTAAAAGAAGTCCACTACTCACCTTTTGGCAAACTCTTTTGTGTCTCAGAGCTGCCATGTATCACAGTATTGGTACTTTATTAAATACATATTTAAAACCCTTACATTATTGCTATCTGTTAAATAAAGCAGGAGATACTGTCTCAAGGCACCTTGTGACACATTCACTGAACAGCTGTCCTTGCCAAAGCATCAAGAGACATTCTACAAACTTGTCTAAGCCATCTCCATCTTCTTCCATTGTTAACATTTGCCAGCGATTAAAATTTGGTTTTCTTCCTTAGTTATTCATTTACGATCTTGGTTGACAAAAATATATTCAGGATTCTCCTTAGTCATTTGTTTTGGTAAAGTCTGGAGTTTATATATAATTCCCTTTGTTATTTTCCAAAACTCAGAAACAGCAGCAAGGCAGAGTTAAGTTGAGTCAAGAATTGGCATCACAGCACTCGGGGCATTCCCATAAGCACTCCATCCCCATCTTCAGCAGCCAGCGCAGAGTTCCAATACTGATGGTGCTGGTCTTAGTCTGTTTTTTTGTCCGTCTTGCCTTTTCTCTCGTGTGTAGTGAGTGGCCAGACCCTCTGGACACACCTCATTCTCTCTAGGCCATAATAATCTAGTTTCTCTTATGACTGCATTACTTGCTCCCAAAGGGCTTTGACCACATCTGCCTTGCCATGAATCAATTCACCACCAAGTGGTGCAGATCCAGCCAATCTGTCTGCCTATTCATTCCCTACTACGTCGGCATTGCCTGGAGAAAAGATCCAAAGTATACTCATAGGTCTCGTTCAATGTATAAATTGTTTCTTAGTGTTTGCCAATTTTTCCAGTTACTTCGTTGAAGTGTTGGTTGGAGATGTAGGTATCTTCTATGTCCTTTTTCCAGCATTGTTGTGTTAAGATGATCTTTATTTCTAAAAGGCTGTTCTTAATGCCATCATCCATCTTCTGCATGGTTAACCTCCACCCTGCTCTGTAACCATTGTATTTCTTCAACGTGGCGCTGTGGCAGTTGGTACCAGGGTATTCTCATCAGATGACCAAATCATCTCATCCGTTGCTTTTTAACTCTTTGAGTCCCATGGGATTTAGCATCAGAGGCCCAAGGGGTGTTTGAGAGAAACGTAAAATCGACACATCTTGCGTTCACTGGGCTTCTAGGTAGGAACTAATTAACACATGATGTGTTCCTTGGGACTGAAAGAGTTAATAAATTGTATGATGCTTTAAGTCCTAGCCTTCTTCTAATCTCTTCACTTTTAATTGTATCTCTTTTCTTCACACTGGCAGCTCTAAGACATCTCATTTCTGTTGTTATGATTTTGCACTAATTAGTTTTTGAAAGGGTCACTGTTTGACACTACTAGTGTAAAGTAAAAGGTAAAGGTAAAGTCGGGAGAAGTGAACCAGCGTCATTGCAAACTAGGTTATAAACCATAAGTGCTCTGCCACCAGTACGGATAGCTGATAAGAATTGTCTGCCTGTGTCGCCGTCCGCACGTTACTCTGTAGCTACAGCTACGTTCCTCTATTTATCCCAGAGTGTCAACTCTGGTACCTATTTCCTAGAGGCTGGGTGAACCCCAGGAAGCGTCCAGTTTCAAACACTGACTGTGGCTGCAGCGAGTCGCAGCTGGATTTGAAAGTGAGCCTCTTATCGACTGTGCTAACACGGCCCCTAGGATAAAGTAGACCAAAGAATACTTCTTATTACATTCACCTTGATTTACAAAGGTTTACTTCTGTGTGTCAAAAGTGGTTTACTTGTCTGGGTAACTTGATAGATTGTTCATTGTCCATTGCTTACAACTATGTTCTGTTCAGATGCTGTATCCTACTGCCAGTGAAGACACAGGTGAGGAACTCATGACCTGGGAACAGCAGGATGACCTGGAATTTGAGGATGACTTCCTGCTCCGACATCAGAAAGAATCTTTGGTCAAAAATGGAATGATAAGCGTTCATAAACATGCAGAGCTAAGCATTGTGAGTAACTTTAGTTGTGGCTAGTTAGAAGTTTAAGTGCTACCAAACTTTGAATGTTTACCTGTAATTTCAAATCAGTATAGGTCAAAAACATGGAGATGGCTAAAACAGTTACTAATAAATTACAAACATTCGTTAACTGGTGCCTGCTTAAAATAGAAGGAATAAAATGGTCTGACAGAATCATGGATTTAAAAAAAAAAGTAAAAGTAAAGGACCCTTTTCCACGCTTTTAGGCGTATAGGGCATATAGGGCTAGACCTATATTTTATAACCAATGACACAAGATGGTTGATGTGGTCAGCATCACGCCGGCCGCCTCTACTTCCAGGGACTGCACCCGGTACCCACTCTCAAGGCTGGGTTGACCTGGGAGCCAAGGTCATTTTTGAAGAAAAGTCAGGCTCCGCCAGGGAGTGAACCCACGACCTTCCGATCCATGGCACCCGTCTAGCCGCTCTGCCACGGCAACTCACAGAATCGCGGATGTGGATAACTTAAAAAATTCCAGTAAATCAAGAGATGAGTAAAAGATGCTGGCTTTTGGAAAAGACACACATTGTGAATATCTGATAAAAATATCATTAAAATGTCATTGCAGTAGAAACTACAAAGCCAGAGAAATAAAAGGAGATAAGTGAATGTGATGGGAAGGATATTTCTAGCTGCATGGGATAGTAAAGGATAGACGGATCTGACATGACTTGGTTCAGGGCGTGCTCCAAGGAGATACAAAGGGCAGAAGGAAAAATATCAGCATTTGAGTGTAAGCATGATAATCATACATAGATGTCAAATATGTGTCGGTATGTTAACACAGCCCTAAAAAAAAAATTATTTTGGGTGCCAAACATTTTATATCTGATTTGGCACAAATGAGGCCTGCTAAACTCAAGCACTACATTTATTTGTCTGTAGCGGCTCTAGTTCTTTAAGATGTTGGCATTTGTGTATTTAATCAACATTTTTGCAGTATTTTTTAAAGTAGGCTCTAAAAAAAAAAGCTTTTGTTGTCTAGCCCTCTATAAAATGAGACTGTTTATTTAGTTATTAACATTTAGATATATGATAAGCAAACCTAAATGTTGACATTTTGGGGTAAAGTGATAGTCACACGTAAATGTTACTATTTAATGGTTAATGTGATAATCACATCTTAATGTTAACATTGGGTAATAACTCCATTCAAATGTGAATATTTGGCTGTTACAGTAAAAATCACAGCCATGTTTGAATGTGAATATTTGGTTATTAATGTAAAAATCGCAGCCACGTTTAAATGTGAATATTTGGTTATTAATGTAAAAATCACAGCCATGTTTAAATGTGAATATTTGGTTATTAATGTAAAAATCACAGCCACGTTTAAATGTGAATGTTTGGTTATTGCTGTAAAAATCACAGCCACATTTAAATGTGAATATTTGGTTATTGATGTAAAAATCACAGCCACGTTTAAATGTGAATATTTGGTTATTGCTGTAAAAATCACAGCCACGTTTAAATGTGAATATTTGGCTATTACAGTAAAAATCACAGCCACATTTAAATGTGAATATTTGGTTATTGATGTAAAAATCACAGCCACGTTTAAATGTGAATATTTGGTTATTACTGTAAAAATCACAGCCACGTTTAAATGTGAATATTTGGCTATTACAGTAAAAATCACAGCCACATTTGAATGTGAATATTTGGTTATTGCTGTAAAAATCACATCTGCATGTTAACATTTCAGAGTCAGCAAAATTTGCTTGTTGAGGACAGCGACTCCGAGCTTGAGGATTTCCACCACATCTTAGATCAGTCAGAGCTGGCACTGAAGAAGGCGGAGCAATCACTGAGCAAAATGAGAAATCAACCAGTGAGCCCTGGACATGTGAACTCTGTCAAATATGTAAGCTTCATTGTCATGAAAACCTCTCTTCTGCTATCTTTTGGGTTCTGGTGTTGATACATTTTGACAAATGTTTAACTGTGTGCCCTCTCTCCTATAGTGTTGTTGTCATGTTGGCAGCTGTCCATCTTTACAGATGATAGTGTTGTATTGCGCTATGAGGAGGCATGGGACTCACAGCTTATGGCAGTGATTCCCAAACTGTGCGCCACAGGGAGCCGCGACCTCTTTACAGGGGCGTTGTGAAATATTGTAAAAGCTTCATAATTAATTTAACCTAGACACAAATAGTCATACCTTTACTTAGGTTAGGGCGCCGCGAAAAAATTTTGGCTCTACTTGCATATTTGGCCGGCAAGCTGGACGGCGTTGGTCGGCTTAGTGGGAGTTCTCTCCCTTGGCCGCACTCAAAACAAGTAGCGGAAAGAGTCACGAATCAAACAAGACAGTGAGGTCGACATCAGGGCTGCCAATGCTTGGGTGTGTCCCCCAGATCTGGGGGTTTTTTTTGACGCTGCAGGGATTCTGGGGTTTTTTGTTTGTTTTGTGTTTTGCCGATCTGTATGCTTTAATGACCGATAAATTTGCGTGGTTAGGGGTAGGGTTAGGGGTAGGGTTAAGGTTAGGGGTAGGGTGAGGGTTACGGTTAGTGGTAGAGTTAGGGTTAAGGTTAGGGGTAGGGTTAGGTTTAGCGTTAGATGTGACAATTTTGATGCCGTAGTTCCCAATAATCGCGCACAGTCACATACACACTCAAACAGTCGACGGACGGTGGATGCTACTGACACGGACAATTCGCAACCGATTGGGCACCAGACGCCCGCCATTGGCGTCATATTTGGCAGACTTTCAGTGGGGCCACTCCCACAAACATCAGATTGTCGGCCACTATTTTGACCAAATTTTCACATCTAACCCTACCCCTAACCCTAACCCCTAACCCTACCCCTACCCCTACCCCTAACCCTACTCAACCCTACACGCAATACGCAGCCCTACACGCAACCATAGGATGATGATAGACACCCTACGCAGCCCTACACGCAACCGTAGGATGATGATAGACACCCTATGCAGCCATACACGCAACCGTATGATGATAGGTTACCCTAGACGCAACCCTACACGCACCCGGATGATGATGATAGGTAAGTATGTCATTTGATTCGTGACTTTGTCCGCTACTTGTTTTGAGTGCGGCCAAGGGAGAGAACTCCCACTAAAGCGACCGAAGCCGTCCCGCTTGCCGGCCAAATCTGCTAGGAGAGCCAAAATTTTAATTGAAAAAAAAGGCGCTGCAACCAAATAAATGTTTGAGAAACACTGGCCCATGGTGATGGTTAGTGTGACCAGCAAGACCTGCCCACATTAAGAAAAGTCTTCCACAATTATAGCATGGGATTTCAGGACGGTTGTTGCTCTCATTTGTATTTAGAATGTTTTTTCTCAGATGCTCAGCTTTCCTCCTTTCTGCAATCATTTCCTCTTTCATTCTTATTCCCTTCCCTATTTCCCCCCTCCCTTTTTACTTGTGAGAAAATTCCCTTCTTGGTCAATGAGGTATATTCTTGCCATGTTTTGTCAATTGATATTATTTCTTTGTTTTTAGCTCTTCGTTTCCTTTGTAAACTCTGGCAGATTGGTTCTCGATTAGTAGATTGATTAATTCATTACCTCTGAGAAAGAATAAATGACAAAACTGATATTTTAGTTTCTTTGGTCAAATGGATTAGGCCAAAAAAATTTCCAGTTTTACATACATGCTCAGGTGAGAAGGAAAATGCATGCTTCAAAGTGGAATTGAACACATGACACTGTTTTAGGGATTCTCAGAACAGCCGGTCAATGTGGTGCTTGAAGCAGAAAGGGTTAATACTTGTGAATTTATGTCTCGTGGTAGTTGGTAGGCCATTAACCCATATGTTTCACACAATACCTGGTCTGATATGCTTATGTGATTTATTCAGGATGAGATAATCAAGATGTATGAGACAAATATGGGTTGTCTGAGGAGTATCTGCCAGCACCTGAAGTCGGAGAATGTTCCAGAAAATGATGTCAAGAGAGTGCAAGGTAAAAATTCCTTGTCTTACATTACATTTGAAGTGAAGGAAATTAAATATCTTAGTTGTATTTACTCATTTAAAAATTGCTGTTGTCACAGAGAGTGTGTGTGTTTATTTTTAAAAAAGATTTTTTTTTTAAGTTCTTAAATATTGTTTCACATTTTTGCCAGTCATGTCCCAGTAAGAGCAGACCAGTGTTACTGGCAACACTTTCATTGTCATAATCCTTGTCTTGTTTCTTCTGTCTTTGTAAGTGTGTCCTCTGAGTAGGTACATGGTAATTTTAATTACTGTTCATTCAGACTTGCTGCTGAAGATGGGGATGGAGTGCTTAAGGAAAGGTCCCTCTAGTGCTGTGACATTGATTCTTAATTTAACATTCAGTTGTGAAATCATACATACTACAAATGACTTGATTTGCATATTAATTCTATTTCTCTATCATTCTCTAGCCCTAATGTGTCAGTGGGAGGAGCTTCATAATTTGGCCACAGAATACCAGACATGTGCAAAGTTTCTTAGTGACATGGCAGCAGTTATTGTTGAAGCTCAGACCCATATCCAGGAAGTAGAAAATTGTGGCCCATTTGATGGATTAACAAAGGCAGAAGAACTGAAGAAAGTGATTACTTCACTGGAGGTTAGTTCAGAAATAATCGACTCAAAAGTTCTTCTTCTTCTTCACTTCCTCTTTACTGCTTGGAGTGTCGAGTGAGATATTAGGTTCTGTTTTTTGCTCTTCTGGCTGCTTCAACCACAGGTGCATCACAATGATGTAAAGTTTCTCTGATGTTATCTTTTTATCTTGTTCTTGGTCTGCCTTGAGCTCTACATCCTTCTCCTCTTTTGGTGTATGCCTTGTATAGTGTGGCATCAAAAAGCATTCTCTGTAAGGGCAAACCATTTGGTTTGCTGCCTTTTTGTGTAATTTAGAATTGGTTCTGCACCGATGTATTTCTCTAGTGACCTTATTTCTGATTTTATCTCTTCTAGTCACTCCTGCAGCTCTTCTCGGACATCTTGTTTCCAGATAAAGACAAAGACAGTGTGGATAGACAGTGTTAAGACCATTAAACAAAAGTCTGTTCACCATACCCAGTGCAGCACAATGCTAGCTTTACATTCACTGCAAATATATTCTTAGTAGCCAATGTGGATTCGATTATCAACCTGAACTAAACTGTAGGCATTAGAAAGATAATTGTAATAATAGTCTTGTATGTGAATAGTTGTTTTTACATTAATATTTCATGTGGATGTATTGTCTGAGACATGCAGGAGTGTGCAAGGGAATGAAAGAGAAGATTTTGTGACTACAAAAGCGATAGCTATTGGAACACTCATACTATACAGAGAAGATGTTCCGAAGACCATTGATGAATAAATGCTAATAAAAGACAGGAGGTTAGATGAAATAACATGTGTAAGAATGTGTGAATGAGAAGTAAGACCAAGTTGGACTTATGCCAAGAAGAGACAATGTGTGTATAATCAGTGTGCTACAGGAACAAATTAGCAACTTCATCTTGCACATTTGCTGCGGGAGACAGAGCATCTGCTGGCATGCCCTGTCTGCTATGATGTTGATTCTCAAGTCCGTAAATTCACATTTAAATTCTTCAACTTATTATATTTTGTTTAATGGAGCATGATCTTTCTCAGTTACATTACTGTTACGACATTTGTGTATGTATGTGTGTGTGTTTATATATGTGTGTGTGTGTGAGTGTGTGTAAATATATATATATATGTCTAACAATTTTTCTATTAGGAAAGAAAGAGTGGTTTAAAGCAACAAGAGCAGCTGTTAAATATAAGTTACAAACAGTTGTTGGAGTTCTCTGGCCGTCATCCTGTGAAGCATGCTGAGGGATGTTTACAAGAGTTGCCAGGTATTCAGAAAGCCATTGCTGCAGCAATCAACAAGTATGTAGAACACTGCTAGATAAATAGGCTTATTATAATAAGAATGAAAATATAGAAAAACTATTGTCTTTATGTCCTGAAAAAAAAATCTGACGGTTTTTTGTTAAGTAGCACCTACAAAGAGGAATAAAACAGTTAACCAGTTTAAATTTCTTACATACTTATATGAGATAACAAAGAGAAAAAACCTAGTTTAAATTTGTTACAAACTTATATGAGATGGTTTTGTGAAAAAATTTATATTTTAAAAACAGTGATTCCAATGGCTGCAACCACTGGATCTTTGAACATTGAACATCTGAACCTCAGCTGTTGTCTTGTAGAGCAGTCGATAGCTGGGTGAGAGAACCATTGTTGCCATTTAGTAGGACTTTTGATCAACAGATATTTGAACCAAAGCTTGACATTGAGTTGGAGACTCAGCCAGTGACCTGCACTCATTGCAAAATGAGTTTTTAAAAAAAAAATGTTTTCACCCATAATTTCCTGGTAGGCTGATAAATGCCAGACATTTTCTGGACATTGCATCTCAGAGAAATTGGCCATTATCTGTGGTGCACTTTGTGGACTCGTGGTAGGAGGGAGTCTTGCACGAGGTTCAGTGAAAGCAGCACAAAGCCTGTTGGTGACTGAGATGAGGTCCAGGATTTTACCAGCACAAGCCATCTGAAGACGGTATCAAGCACAGAGCACGCTTTCCGTAGCTCCAGCAAATATATAATCAGACAGTTACTGGTGCTGTCGGAATTGGGACTCTTGGTTTGCTGCTGAAGACGGGGATGGAGTGCTTATGGGGGTCCCCTGAGTGCTATGAAATCGATTCTTAATTCAACATTCAACCCAGCACAAGCACAACGACCTTTTACCTTTCCGCCATGACTGTAACTGTGACCAAAGTCACCGCACCTTGTTTGCTTTTAAAAAATACATTGTGTTTAATTAATCAATAAATAGAGTAAAATTGCTTTTACTTGTATTGACAGATTTTTTCTATGCTATTATGCTTTACCTCCCTTATGTTATTGTATGTTGTTGTTGTGTTCCAGAGGAAAGACCTGGTTGTTGGTCCATTTGTGGACTATGGCTTTGTTTTAGGACCCAAGTTTTGCACGTGCATCCATTTTACAGACCTTGCTTTTTTGTATGCAGACTGTTGGTTCCTTGCCTCTCAGGTAGATGCACTCCGACTTTGAAGGAAGCCCCCATTTATTCGACTCTTATACATGCTTGTAAGGGAGGCAGTGGGTCTGTTCTTGTTTCTCCCCACAATTGGATCCTGAAACACATGGGGATCCTCCCTAATGTTTCTTACCTTTTCCACAGAGTGTCTGATCATCTGAAAGGACAGACTGAATGGCTGGAGTACTTTGAGAGGCAGCACAGACTAAATGTGTCACTCACAACAGATAGAGAGAAACTGCACAAGTTGCTATGCCAACAACAGTTTAGAATGCAAGTCAGTAAGCAGGATGTCATGAAAGAATTGGAGGTAAAGAATGATTCGTTTGTTAACTATTTGTTTATGCATATTGCGATGACTTTCTTTTGTCTTCTTCTGGCTCTAGTCATTGCACGCTTCCATTTACTGACTGACAACACACGAGAAAACATGGACGCTGGCGAACGATCCAAATTATACTTACAGTTGTTTATTTGTTCACTCGCTAGTATTGCAGCCAGTAAATGTTAATGGACATAGTGACTCATATCTATCCTCACTTATCTAACATGTCAACTTTACCTTATAATATATCTTCCATCCAACAACTGAATGAACAACGACGATTCCATCCGATCAAAACACATTCTCAGCTGGCTACGACTTCCGTTCGCCGCTACTGATGGCCAGGTAGGCGTTGGAAAAACACTGTGCAGACACATCAGACTTACACTCTTTCTGGATCCCGCAGACACTCCATCATACTTCATGTATTCATTCCCTAGGCCTAAACGAGACTGACTACCCAGCTCTTTCTCAGGCATTATATGACCTTCTAATGCCCTCCTCGTGCTTTTGAATTCGTGTTCTCTGTTTTACACGAATTACATTTGGCCAGCAGTTTTTGTGTGACCCCCGTGAATAATTATACTTCACGTGAAGTTAGACTATCAGCAATTCCCGTGTTGTCCCAGTTAGACTCAAAATTTTCCACTCACATTTATTACTGATGTCATTCCGTCTAAGCATAATTTATCTAGGAGAAAATGAGATTCACTACACATTTAAATATATAAGTTCTATTAACAACATAAATTCAACAAATGAAACTATCGCTGCAGCATTTAGTTAATAGTACTATTTCTGGTAGATGCTAGATGGAACATTTACTGAAATATCACATACATTCAGAAGTCACAGTTTACCTCCATCATTTGGATCTACACACCTGGGCACACAGGAAAAAATGGTAATGAAAGAGCTGACCAGCTGGCAAGTAATGCACCAATGCAAATGCGAAGAAGCCTGGACAGAACTTATATCAACGCTGTACAGACTAGGTTGGGGGATAATTTTGAATCTCTGATGCTAACACAATTGCATGACTGAAGAGTCAAGCTTGGTGAAGCACATCTATGCCTCTTTGAGGTAAAGACAGGAGGTACTATAACCAACTCTTCATGGAAACAATCAGTAGGGGTACCTTGAGTGGCTGCTGCATGGCAGGACTGAGCATGCATGAGCATGCCCAATGTGCAAAGATGTTGGTGGTGATAACATAACATAATATAACAACATCCTTGGGGGTCTATTATAACGCTGTCTCTCCCCCCCCCCCCCCCCCCCCCCCCCCCTCTAAAACTAGACACTAGAAGGTTGTGCTAGACTGGTATAAAATGTCACATCTGCAGAAAGTCATATTAGAATATAGCCTGGCCATGATTCAGCTCAGCACTTACAGACTGACTGAGATCAGAAGTGCTCGGAAATGAACAGGCAAACAGTTACTGCACCAACCGGTGGTGAATTTATACATGGCAAGAATGACACTCTTAAATAAAAATAATTTATCAGTTGTAAAACACTTTATAAAAGTTTTTTAATTTCTTTACAGGTCTTGCATAACAACTTGTCCCTATATGAGTCAGAATTATCCTTACTGCAGTCCATGCGGCCCCAACTGGCTAAAAACTCAGATCCCTTAGCCAAGAGCCTTCTTGCTTCTATAGGAGATCTTCGTTACCAGCTGCTAGTGATGTCACAGAGATGTTGCCAGATTGACCATTATATTGAAGATAGTGATGATACACTCTTGCATCAACATTCAGATCTTGGCAAATTGGCAGTTTATAGCACAACTTTACATGAAACTACCACAATCCCCAAGGACTCCTTGTAAGTTCAACTTTTTGTTTCTTATAATCTTTGTTAGTGCCGTTCATTAGTTGTAAAGAAATGTGATAGCCTAGTGACTGTTGTGTATGCCTGCTGCTCCAAAAGTCCCAGGTTTGAATTCTCTTGTCCCTTTGTCACCACCATAAACTGGAAGAGTTTGCATGTCCTGATGGCCCCAGGAGCTATGTCAGTGGTAGCGCAACTACTGGAAGGGTTATGATGTATGAACCAGCCACAGACACACAATCCTGCGACCTTGCAGGTAGACTGGGGATAATCAAAGATCAGAGAACGCAAACCTGATCAAATATCCAGGAAGTTAATCCGGTCAACAAATGATCAATGAAGTTGGATGTATCAGCCTAAAGGCACAAATATCGCAGCATTGCTCTAAACAGGCACGACACAATTACTCAGATGAATGAAAATAATAATGAGAAACCTGATAAAATGCTTGTCAGAATTGGATGTACTCGGCCACATACTTGAGGTAACAGTTCAGCTTATTTCTGTATGGGTTCCGGGGCCCCATTGTGGAGATAAGAAGAATAGACCCACTGCCTCCCCACCAAGCATGTAATGAGATTCGACTAATTTGGGGCTTCCTTTGAAGTTGGAGTGCATTTGACTGAGAGGTAAGGAACCAACAATATGCATACAGTTAAGGCAGTTCTGTTAAACGTTGCACATACAACACTCAAGTTCTGGAACGAGACTAAATCCAGAGGCAGACAAACAAACAGAACTTTCCACCGGAGTTTACAGCCGGTGAAAGCGAAAAAGAAGAAGAAGTCCATCCTAATAGTTTGCATGATGATAGATTTTCTTCAGCATGAGATTTTTTTTTAAGGCCAATGGTTCCAAGGTCATCCCTGTCATTTAAAAAGTATACAAGAATATTTTCTGGAAGTTGAGGTAGCCATCTTGTTGCATCACACATTGAGTGCTGTATCCCCCATGTGGGTCCTGCGGCCCCATTTTGGCGGGAAAACAAAAATAGAATAGACCCACTGCCTCCTACATGTCATTAGAATTAGAACTTTACTGAAATTTGATGTATTGTGCTAAAGTTAAAAGGTTAAAGCCAAGAGGATAGACTTCATTGCACCGGGTTTGATTCCTTATGGTTCGGTCTCTCTTCGCAGAATGGCTAACTGCCTGCCGAGAGTGCGGGGCAGAGCATGACCTCCGTAGCTCTGGCAACGATCTCCAGGGATCTCCTATAAAAATTGCACTCATGAACTAAAGGGGGCAGCCTTGAAACAAACTCACGACTTTCAGAGCGCGAGGCAAATGGCTTGACGACTTCACACGGCAATCCCTGAATCTGCATGCTGAATGTTTTATGCTAAAAGGGGATATTTTCCAGCTTAGCTGTAAGCCACAACACATTAAGCTAGAAGCCCACTATTCAAGGGTGTATGCAGGAAAAGACTAGAGATTCTTCTTCTTCTTTGTGTTCACCAGCTGTACACTCTGGCGTAAAGTTCTGGTTGTTCGTCCACTTCTGGACTGCAGTCCTGCTCCAGAACCTGAGTGTTGCATGTGCATCAGTTTTACAGATCTGATTCAATTGAATGCAGACTGCTGGTTCCTTGCCTCTCAGGCAGATGCACTCCGACTTCAAAGGAAGCTCCCCAGTTAGTCGACTCTTACGACATGCTTTTGGGGAGGCAGTGGGTCTATTCTTGTTTTCCCCACAATAGGGCCCCGGAACCCACACGGGGGAAGACTAGAGATGTTTGTTTAAATAAGAGTTGAGCCACGTACGATATGAATAACGTGAATTAATAACATGACAAAGGGGTTATTTTCTTTTACTATTTAATTGATTGATAATCATAGATTCAGTTGTTTATTGATTTAATAATGAAAGAGAAATGTTGAGATTCTGTGAAGAAATAATGAAAAAAACAATATATCCTGAGAAAAAAGTGTTAAAAGTGGTATAATTATTAATCAACATAATTTTGTAAACATCATGTGTCATTAGGTCACCCATGGCTGTTGACTGTCTAATTTGCTCCCTCTACCTCTTGATGCTTGAAATGGTGAAAAATATGGGGGTGACTGCAGTCAAGCTAATACAAGGAATTCCAGAGAAATTTGACGAACAAGCTTAACCAAATGGGGAAGCAGAAAAACGTTTTGGCCGGGCAGCCTTTGTCAAACTACACAAAAATAACATCTCCTTGTTAAGCTTGGTTAAGCTTGTTAGTCAAATTTCTCTGGAATTCTCTTGATGCTTGCATGTTTGTGGCCAGTCCATTCAAGTAAATTATGTATCCAGATCTTTCTTGGACTGCCTTCCTTTCTACAGAGCCCTGTAATATCATTTTGGAGAGGCAGATAGATCTTTGTTTCATATCCGTGCCATTGCTTTTGCCATCTTTTCACTGTTGTTAAAAGAGGTTAATAGTTGTCTGTGTGGTGAGAGATGATACGGCGAACTTCATCATTTGTGATGCGGCCTATGTGCGATATACCCAGGATCTTTCAATAAGATCTCTTTTCCAGTGTGTATACTTTCCTTTCAAGTTCAGATCACAAGGTCCACGTTTGACAGCCATTTGTAAAGTTACTGATCGCTAGTACTCTAAGTAGTTACATTTGAGATTTACATGAGATATTTTTCTGTCTAAATCTCAAGAAAATTTAGTGCTTATCTGTTACAGAGGCATAGTAAACCGATTGGCTGAGGAATATCAGATGACAGCAGAAATGCAGTTTCTGAAAAGAATCCAAAGTCATTTAAAGAAACATATAACAGGTGTAAATTCATTTGAAAAATTAGATGATGAATATATGTTTTCTTGTATCTTTCTGTCTGTTGTATATCTTACAACATGTTTATAATGTTTGTTTTCCCATCTGGTACTAAATTTTGTTTTTCCAGAATATTGTAACATTTCCAGCGTAGGAAAGAATATATTAAGATATGCTTTTCCAAATTAACAGATCACGCTCGTCTTCCTTGGAAAACCTGCCTGCCACGTCCAGTACTAACAACAAAAACACTGGCAGCTGTGCATCCTGGTTGTGTTCACTTCCTGCACAGGTGGTTGCTCTGATGCTGGTCACAGGTCTCATCTGTGCCCTGGATCCCGACATTCTGGATCACCTGACCAACTTAACTCTCAAAATCAGTCCTGAACTACGGTATGTCAACGGACCACCAGCGACATAATCCACATGTTTTTCTCATTATTCAGTTATAGTTAATTGCAGCAACTTGATTTTGATGCCATAAACCCACCAGGTGATTACATTTTCCCTCGGGGAACATGTGAACAACAGAGCATCGTGGTCTAGAACAGCGATTCTCAGCCTATGGGTTGCAAGCATTTTAGGGGTCGAATGACTCTTTAACATGGGCATTGGGAAACAGATGTTCACTGAAGTTGAGTTAAGTCAAGAATTTACATCACAGCACTTGGGGCATTCCCATGCATGCTGCATCCTCATCTTCAGCAGCCAGTGCAGAGTTCCAATACTGATGGCACTGGTCACAATCTGGCTAAATGTCCGTCTTTCCTTTCCTCTGAGTGTAGTCAGCCGGCCAGACCCTCTGGTTACACCCAGGTGCCTCATTCTCTCCAGGCCAAAAATAATCTTCTTTCTCTACTGATTCTGTTGCTTGTTTCCAAAGCGCCTTGACCACATCTGCATTGTCATGTATCAATTCACCATCCAGTGGTGCAGATCCAGCCATCTGTCTGCTTGTTCATTACCCAACACGCCCACAAAGCCTGGAGAAAATATCCATACATGTGACCTTTTCAGTGAAGCTTGCCACTCTGCTCGAAGCATCCCTGTCTTCACCTTTCTCAGCATGCTTTCAGAGTCTGTTACAATTATGATAGGTGTATGCATCGTGTTCTCTATCCACCGGAAGGCTGCAGTTAACGCCTCCACCTCCATTCTCATGCTAGATGTTGTGGTGTCATATGCTAGGCTGTCTTGCACTAAAGATTTTCCATTGGCTTTTGCTACGAACCCCCAGGCACTTCTCTTTCCTCTCAGCACCGAACCATCTGTATAATTGATCAGATTACCTGGGCGTGATTTGCCATGAATCAACTGTTGGACTTCAACCTCTGTAGCACCCGCTGGCCACTCTCTGCACACACAGCCCAATGTGATCATAACCCTACACAGGTCAGACTTTTCCGCTGGTACTCTGACCCACTCCTCTCCTTGACCAATGTTCTCCACATGCATACTTGTCTTATTGTGTTTTCTGCTTGAGCCCTCCACGATTTTCCCCTTTTTTAGCCCCTGACCTTTGTTTGCAGCCAAAGCTTCATACAGAGTGTGTTCTTTGTCTGCAGCTACTCTAAGGTGTGACTTAGACTGCAGCACCTTTAGCCTATCTGCAATAGCCAGCAATGCAAGGATGTATCGCATGCACACAATCGGGGTGTCTCTTGTACAACCCAGGATCAACCGCATAGCTTCATTCTGTATGTGCTCCAGTTTGGTGTTCCTAATTGAGAATACCAGAATACACAAATACTGTAAATTAAAAGAGAACCATTGTAGGCTTAGACATGTGCCTATTGGCCCAGTTTGCATGTTCATATTCTCACTGAGGCAGCTTTTTTTTTTTTTTCAACTGGTCTTCCAGCTTAATCCCGCTTAAAATTGGTACCAGGAAATTCTCTAGGAAGTCAAGATGATTGACCATATTGCCTTTTAAGAATTCAAAACTATAGCCATATGCCCAATACACTTTAGTCATGAACTGTTTAAAGTAAAAGCCACCAGTACGGACAGCTGATAAAAAACTCTCCGCCTGTCGCCATTCGCTCGTAACTCTGTAGCTACAGTGACGTTCCTCCCTTTACCCCAGAGTGTCAACTCTGGTACCCATTTCCTAGAGGCTGGGTGAACCCCGGGAACCACCCGGTTTCAAACACTGACCGTGGCTGCAGCGAGTTGCAGCTGGATTTGAAAGCGAGCTTCCATGGACCGTTTTAATTAAATAAAACTATCAAGTTGAGGAAGATATGGCTGAGAGGTTTACAGTGTCTGCCTCATGGCTCAGAGTTATCTGGTTCAAACCCCAGCAAGGGACTGGGAATTTGTTTTTACAAGATCATTGGCTTTTAACAGGTTTATTCAACTAAGTTTATTCAGGGGCCAGAATTGGGAAAACAGGGATTGTCACGAGCCAAAGACCCAAGCCACAGCATGCAAAGATCATTAATATAATGCAAGTGGCAATGATCCACAGGCTGCATGCCAGGCTTTTGCAAGCCACATTTTGCCCATGAGCTGCATGTTGAATAGCCCAGTTTATAATATTATCTTCTTCTTCTTCATTTTCTTCTTCTTCTTCTTAGCATTCACCAACTGTAAACTACAACAGAAAGGTCTAGTTATTCTTCCACTTCTGGACTTTTGGTCTTGTTCCAGAAATTGAGTTGTGCATGTACATCCAGTTTTACAGATCTAGCTTATTTATGTGCAGACTACTGGTTCCTTGCCTCAGGCAGATGCACCCTGACTTCGAAGGAAACTTCCCTAATTAGTCAGCTTTTACACCATGCATGTTAGGAAGCAGTGGGTGTACTTCACACACACCCCACACATCACCCACCCTCGAGAACCCACAACACCCCCCCCCCCCGAGAACCCACACGGAAAAGGTTCCCAATATCAAACATCTGCTTGATCTCTTGAGAGAGTGAGATCAAGAATCTTTTTTTCTTGGATTGGTGAATTGGGTATCCTTTACAGGACGTTGCAGAACCGACCCCAACAGCCCCTGGCTGTGGTGTGGTTTTTCTAGGCAATTTACGTCCAGTATTTTGCCATTGCTTTCTGGACGGTCGGCTTTCTTGATACCACAAGGCGCATGGCCCGCAGCTGGGATCGAACCCGGCATCATGAAGCGTTGGCATCGACTTAGCCACAGAGCCGACTTCTTCTTGGATAAGAGGGAAAAAATAGGCCGTCCTTTATATGAAGTTATGTATGAACAAAATCCCATGGCAGATGGAAATCCCGGTGTGTAGGCCACAACACTTCTAACCTGACAACATTGTTAGCAAAAGCATATGTAGATAAGCGTCCATTAATTTGGATTTATTAACTCTTTGAGTCCCAGGGGGTTGAGCATCACAGGCCCAGGGATAGTAAATAAAGTCATAAAATCTGCGCATCATTGGGCTTCTAGGTAGGAAGCTATGAATGTATGATGCGTTAAGAGTTAATAAAGAAACACCTGAATTCTACAAAAGTATCAAATGTCTGTGGTTGAGACCAGTTGCGAAATTTGATATGTGACTTTTACGTGACACTTGAAAAACCGAAATTCTACGTCTGCTAAAGCTATGCCTTTCATAAAGATGGATGTAGTGAAAAACATAAATTCAATGGCAGTATTTTCAGGTTGCCACATAAGAAGCCATTTTTATAACAGATGATTTGGGTTTGAGAATTAAGTTGCAGCCTAGGTTTGTTTCTTGTAGATGTACAAATAATAAAGGTATTTTTGTTTTTTCAATTGTTGTTACACATTTCTTAGTCTTCATTTTATGGCAGCATTATGTTTATTTTGTTCTTATAATGTTTCAGTTATTTTATGGTACTTGTATGCTTTTTTTTGGGGGGGGGGGGGGGGGGGGGGGGGGGGGGGGGGGGGGGGGGGGGGGGGGGGGGGGTTTCCTTTGGGGAAAAGGGGCAGGGATGTTTTGAGGACAGAATGCAGTAAAAAGTAAACATAATTTTCAAAATTAATTAATTCTTTAGAAGTTTTGTGAACATTACCTTTTTGAAGATTTCAATAACAAACCTTCTCTTCTTGATCTTCTTCACTTGTTCTTGTACCATTTTGAGTGTCAAGACAGATATGAGGCCTGGTAACACTTTTTGTGATTTTAATAACAAACCACACAGAAGTGAGGTTATACTTGGAATTTTGTTTTAATGTGATTAGTCGGGCTAAGTTTATTACTATACTGTATATACACTTGAGAAGATGTTTACAATATCTGTAACAAACAAACAAAACAAAACAAAAATGGTCTAGTGCCGAAGTGTATTGATACAATACTATTTACAGTTTTACTCACATTCCTGTGCTGAATTTTCATACAATTTTTATTTTATTTGGGTGCTATCTCCACAATGAAGGGTGGCTGCAGTTGATATGTGCGTCAACTGCTGCCTTTAGGAGCATTACATGATGAAGAATCAGTCTTTTCCATCATGCGACTCTCATACTTCTATTCGCAAGCCATAAGAAAGTTCTCTTAGAGCATTTCTTCCTAGAACAAGGTACCAGTACTCACCATATTGTTTTAAAAAAAGGTGCACAGTGTCTATTACAGTCGCGCTAAAAAAATGATGCCCAAGAAAATGTGCAGGTACTGTGTACTGTTGCTTACTGAAAAAACAAACAAAAAAAGCCATGGATCTCTTACGTTATAGGAGTATCCAGATTCATGAATGCTGAATGTAGGATAAAATGTTTTCAGTAATGTTCACCTGTAAATTATTTTGTAGTTAGTCAATGTTTTAAGATTTTATAATTTTTGAAAAACCCCCTTCCCTTTTTTTTAAAACATCACTTGCTTTCTGAGTGTTATTTCAGTGTAAGTTTAATTTTGGCTTTGCTTCTCTGTAAAGCTTTTGAAATTGGCTATATTTACAGTGGCTGATACAGTGCAATTTTTACTTTTAAACAAATATCTGCTTGTGAAAATTGTACATTTGATTTATTTTCATTTTAGATTTGGCTCTCAACTTTATAAAACATGAGCACTAGTTTTTACTGAGTGCTATCTTGTGCACTGATGTGCATATTGATCTCCATTATGTATAATGTGAATAAAAGTTTTATTCATTAACATTTGTGCTTTTAAATCTGTGCATTATAGAATGCATGTCTGATAATTTGTGCTGCTAGTTCTTGTTCATCCTTAAGAGAAAAAAAACAGGGGCTTTTGAGCTGAAATGCTGTAGAAAAATTCTCAGAATACCCATTGATAAAGAAGAAAACAATACCGACATCCCAAAAGATCTAAACATCAAGGAAGATTGGCTAGTAAACAGCATCTTGTGTCAGAAACATTAATAATTTGGCCATATGAAGCACCATAGTGGAGTGGACAAAATAATAGCAGAAGCATGGTACTAGGAAAGAGGGGCAGGGGTCAGCCAACATAAAGATTCACATAG